AAGAAAAGGAAAAGGACAAGAAAAGGAAAAGGACAAGAAAAGGAAAAGGACAAGAAAAGGAAAAGAAGGAAAGGAAAGCCTTCTTATTTCCTAAGAGAATCTTGATTTTATTTTGTGCAGAAGCACTTTCTTTCTGGACCTCCTATGGAAGTAAATTAGAAGCAAAATGCTGCTGAAGTTCACTGAGTACAATCAACAGTATTTTTAGCAAGAGATGATTCATGGTGAGAATCCTGCTTTTATGTGGTCAGGTGCAAACATTTGGGTGCTCCAAGTTGGAGAACCAATGTTTGAAGACTGTGTACCAGTTCCAGTAGAATGATCAGAAATAAGAATGCAGCTGTACTTCTAAACAGAAGAAAACCATACTTTACTAATTTTCCAGTAGTGCTCAGGTTGAAATCAGAGGCACATAAACTAAAAATGTGGCCCACAGCTAAAGGAAAACATCGATACCATCAGGGCTACACTGAAACACTAAAAATAAACTCTTTTATGTATGCTTGTTTCTTTTTGAAATGACAATTAGTCTTTTGCACAGTAATACTGTTTCATTAGTCAGGAGTTAAGAGTAGGGTTTTTACCAGTCAAAGAACTTCCCATGAGAATGCAAAATTTATTTGAGCACAACGTCACTGCTATTCTGTGCTCAGTTTTCTTGGAATAGAGAAAATTCTTGTTTGAAAGTCAATATACTGAGATTCTATGTAATTTTTGTTTCAGAAAATGTTTCTTGGGCTCCATAAGCATATCCAGACTGTTTCACTACAGTGACTGCTGTCATTCATTCCTAGGAGTCCACCTCCATCAACTACCATGCATGATTTCACTAACATCTATCACTGTTTTTTATGATTACCTACTAAAGATGTACCCACCAAATGCTCTGACTTACTTTGCATGTCGCTTTTCATCAGCCTGGGCCAGATCAGCCACATAACCTTCAAGGTAAGTTTGGAGCTCCTCATAAGTTCCAACGGTTTGATTAAAGGTCCTAAAAACACGAATGAAACATTATAAAATGCTGAACATTCAAGTCATGATCCAGACAAAGCTTTACATTATCACTTTGACATGATTTTAAGAGCTTTGAAGAGGCAGTAACCTGCTGAAGTAGCAAACCTCTTGCCAGAGGGCAGGGGGACAGAGTCCCTGATCTCCTCAGGTCATTTCATGCTATGTTTAAATAATTTGGAGCAGGCTGGGTGTACTTTGCCTCCCACATGCACTGTAGTTATTAAGTGTTGTTCCACCATCCCTACCCTGGGAACCAGCTTGGCACGAGTCCAGGCAGTCAGTCCTGCCCCAGTGGATAAAACCCTTGGTACATAGTGCCAAAGGGACTGAGTTCACCTCTCCTGTTTCAGAGGTGAGTAACAGCACTGTGGGAAGAAAAGACTTAGAATAGACTATTTCTGTTGGAAGGGACCTACAACAACCACCTTGTCCAACTGCCTGACCATCTCAGGGTGAACCAAACTGAAGTATGTTATTAAGGGCATTGTCTAAATGCACTGAACACCTCGCTAGGAAGCCTATTCCGGTGTTTTAGGAGAGCCAACTTTAGCCTCTTCAGGGACCTTATTGGAAAAATCCCACAGGAACAGACCCTGCAGGGAAGAGAAGTCCAAGAGAGTTGGTTGATATTCAAGGATTACTTCCTCCAGGCTCAGGAAATGAGCAAGGAATTGGGCAAAGGGGGCAAGAGACCTGCGTGGATAAATAAAGAACTCCTGTCATTACTCAAGCATAAGCAGGAAACACACAGGAGATGGAAGCACCCAGGAGACAGGCCACTTGGAATGAACATAGAAAGGTTGTAAGAGTGAGTAGGAATGAGACAAGGAAGGCCAATTCCCATCTGAAATTAAATCTGGCCAAGGATGTCAAGGACAACAGGAAGGGCTTCTTCAAATACATCAGTAACAAAAGGAAAACAAAGGACAATGTTGGCCTGTAACTAAATGGAGGGGAGATCCGTAACAGAGGATGCAGAGAAGGCAGAGTTCCTGAACACCTTCTCTGCACTGGTCTTCACTGACAAGACAAGCTCTCAGGAATCTCTGACCCAGGAGACCAAGATAAACATCACCACGACAAGGGGAGAAAGAAAATAATAACTTTGAGCTACTCTTAAGCTTCTGTGCGCCAGCATCTGCTGTCAGCCTCTCTTTCTTAGTACTTCAAAAACATAAACACTTGTTCAGTGTTCCCTTAAGAAAACATTGTGATTTTGCCTTTAGTGAGGTCATATGAACCTACTGAAAGTCTCGTGTTAACCTACTAAAAGAGGATGCAATTCTTCTATTGAACTGCAGAGTACTTACTCTCTGTCTATAACGAGGCACTCCACGTTGTATTCATCTGCAATAACGTTTGCTGATCTGACGTCGTCACTAAGAATTGAAATGTACTTTTTCAGAAACATATCAAACATATCAAAATCCTCAAAACACTGTACTCATGGAGGGTCCCAGCTGCCATAGGTGAAACTCCTCAAAGGTCTTTGCAGCCTGTATCTGAATTAATATTGCTGAACTAAATAAAAAATTGTAGCATTTCACTAGTCATTATTATGATCCAGCACAGTATTTTTTTCAGTTTCAATAGGGTTTGGATCATGACATCCTTTAGCAACCTTCCAAGAAATTAGGGTGAGCTGTAATTAGCACTATATCAGGATTTACTACTTACTTCTGAAATGATCTTTGGATATAAAACATTCCAGAAACCAAAAGATTCCCTACTCAATCACCCACATAAATATGTACTATGTGACTCCTTCTCTCTGTTTCTTACTATCATAGGCAATGGAAACAACAGCTCAGTCCAGTCATGATGGAGCTTATCCATTTTAAAGTCACATAGAGCCTGGCATAAGTTTTCATCACAGCTTTTACTGAAATATAAACAATAAGCCACAATGCAGAGAGGGTCAGCATTTGACTTCTACAGGGAAAACTAAAGGTAGATGACAGTGTATAGCTTCAAGTTCTCTCTGCAAAAAACTAAAACATTAAGGCAAATTCAGTCACTACCTTTATCTATCTACTTTACAATCAAAACAAATATTATATTCCAAAGAGTCATGAATTGTAGAATTGAATACATAGTGATAGGACAATTGAAATACTACATATCATGAATCAGACAATGTGAACTAACCTAATAAGAGCCTTTTCTCCAAAGTAATCCCCTTTATGCAGATTTTTAATCAGCTGAGGCTGTGAATGATCTGCTGTACTTTGGGTAACTATCACCTGGAAAGTACAGGAATAAAAATTTAGTAAGGTTTCCTTTCTTTTCTGTGTATTTCATAAATGTCTTAAACTCTGTAATGCTGCAGAAAGAGTTACAAATATATATAATTACTCCTTCCTCTCAAAAATTTAAAACAAGTTGCCCACCCCCAAGTATTTTCTCCTCATACCTTGTAAAACAGAGCAAAAATAAGTCACATTTTAATGAAATACTGAAAAATACTTCAGTTCTCACTGTGGGCAGGGATCATATGAGCTTTTTGTCTTTTCAGCTAAGCAGATAGCAGATAGAAGAATTAACTAACATTTTCCCCTGACGAAATTCTGCTTCCACAGCAGCACACATTCTGCTATGCCCACATTAGCAAAAACCAAATCAGAATACCTCCAGACACAGAAACATTTTGGAAATCCTCTTGGAAGTTTATTGATGAAAATTCCCCTGATTTGATTCTTTAGAGTCCCATGTCAGCCTCCAATGTAACAGCTGATGGATAAAGGCCGCTGCCTTATTCCTCTGGCACTAACAAATGACAGGAACTGATTCTGAGACACCTAGAAGGCCATTCTCCATTAAGCCTAGGACTCCATTACTTCTTATACATTTCACAAGTCTATGTTTTGCCCATCAGATATTGAACAATCTAGGAGAAGACACAGGATCAAATCTCATTTACAAAAAAATTGACTTTACATCTCTGCTGCAGTGTCAAGAGGCTTCAGGACACACTTTAATTACATTATAATTAGAACAGTATAACACGGGTTCATTGTGAATGGAAAATTAGGCTCCCTGAACCTCTGAAATGCTGCTCCAGGCTTTTATCATGGTATTGTGGACTCAACAGCATCCTCAAAAACACTCTGCAGAGATTTTACTGAAGATCACACCCTTCAAGGTAGCTTTTGAAATGTGTTTGTACATAACCTACTTTATAAGTTAGGTTTATTAAATCTTACCTTTCCTTTTGCTATTATGAAGAAGGTATTTCCCTCTTCTCCTTCCCGAATAACATAATCTCCCTTGTTATAGTACTCCTGTTGGGGAGGGAAGGGAGAGACAATATTCTCTGATAAGCTGTTAGCCTTTTTGAAAGTTCTGATTACTATGCAGAGTTCTTAATACCTGTGGATCTTCCATTAATGTTTAAATTCCTATCTCCTTCATACATTGCATCCCATAATATGCAACCATTCCACTATAGAAAAAGAGGGGCCAATCTTAATGCAGCAGCACGTTATTTGTTTAAAAAACCCACAACACTTGTGTCCTCCTTATGAAGCAAGGGAAAACAAAGGAAAATAAAAATATCAAAAACTCTTTTAAGAGTTCTAAATCAAAAACTCATTTCCAAAAGTAATTTCAGGCTTGACATCTCAGTGGGAATGCCTAAATTATCTGTTGCAAGCTACTAAGGTACCAATTTTTCTGTGTCTGCTAAGGAACCCTGACCACCATTACCATTCATTAAGATTCAGGTAATGAATTACCTGATTGTTTAACTTTCAATCAAGTATTTTTTCTGTATTAACTTCCAGCCTTGTGATCTGAGTGTTTCCTACAAGTTCTCCCTTGCCAGGAACCCCACAAAAAAAACCCCAAAAAGTCACAGCTTAGGATACTGCTATGCTAAGGCCATTTGCCATTTCACATAATCAACACCATAATCTCCTCATTCCCTTGTGCTGTGGTCATGTATCACTCTATCTGCCTCCTCCAACTTTGTGCTTAATCTTAATAAAGGCTAGATTATAGATCCTCTTACCTACTTGCTTGACTACTTCGATGCCAAAACCATAACATTTAGTGACATAATATTAAGTTATTAATTGCTGCCAACTTGGAATTCCACTCTGATCACTACAAGCCCACTCTCATACTACAGAAAGCTTGGCTGGTTTTTATTTTTAATGATTTATTCTTCTTTGTTATTTTGAAAGCTTACTGAATATTATTTAGAAGAACTGAACAGTATCTTACCACCTCCAGGCAGTCCATGATCTTGGTTAATTTATCTTCAGGTAAGTTTTTCAGCAGGGACACACTTCCAGAAAGCAGAAAAGCAGAACAAAAAAAACCCAAACCCAAAGTTGTCATTAACACTTTTTTCATGATCTCTTCTCATCTATACAATTTGTACAATCACATTTTATTGCTAGTTAGACTGGTGGTGAACACAATATACAACTAAATCTTAATTTGGAAGGTTCAAGCATTCTCATCTTGTTTTTTAGACAAACAAAACTCGCACAACTTACAACTTAGCAATGTGGTAAACATTGGTCAGTTTGTAAATCAACTTTGTATTTCAGCAGGGGAAGAGTCTCTAATGGGCATAGGGATTGATTTCAAAATTCAGTCATACAGAATCCAGTAATTGCAAAACCAAGTCATTATAGTAATCCAAGGATATATTTTTAAATGCACTGCAGAGACTGCAAAATCAGACAAAGGTAAAAACTTCAGTACTCCTTGGACAACTTTTAAAAGAGAATCCAATTACAGTGATGATTTAGTGAACTTGCTGGTAAGAAAGAAAAAACCTTCCACCCTGATCACTCAGACTTGTAAAAGTCAGGAAATTATAGAACTTTCTAGCTACTCAGGCTCAGAAAAGAAGTATGTATAGAAATCATAGACAGAGATGGATGTAAAAATACACAAGACATTCTATGCATGGGTAGACTTTACATCTTGATTTGAAGGCATAACAGAATGGTCATTCTTTGTTAAAAAAAACCAAAATATAAAATCAGCTAATTATGGTTTGGAACCTCTAATTTCACCATCTTCCTAAGGAGAAGCATGGTACAATGCTCAGTGTTCCCTGCAGGAATTATTCTACTCTGCAAATTTCCTGGTAATTTATATTGGGATTAGTTCATAAACTGAGAGACATGCAGATCTCCTATTCAAGTCTCCAAGGGATAAGGAATATTCCTTAATCTACTCCAGCAGCAAATTAACTACTAGTTGGAGGATTTACTTAACTCTATTTATTCATTATATTGTTTTAACTTCTAAACAGGTAGCTTTTTTATAGATTTATTCTATTACTTAAAAGCATTCAAGCACCTTTTGAAGTTTCCTAATATAATGCAGGAGAAAAACAATAAAAATGGAAAAAACTCTCTTATGAATCTTAAAAAAAAAAAAAAAAAAAGAAAAGAGGTAAATAGTCAGGATTTTGAGGCTGTATTTGCATGAAGGGTATCTTTTTCTCTCTGTTTACAAGCTAGGCATAATATTGTTGTGCACCTTAGTAAGTAGCCCAAACAGAAACTCATCATATTTACCTTCTAAGGAAGTTTCTGTATTGCTCTTGTCTTGTTTGTGCTGTCACTCTCATGATATTTTGAAACACTTCTCTGTCCAATGCCCATGTTTTAACATTACTGATTGCTTTGAGAAAACAAAAAACCAAGAACAAAATCAATGTTTTCAAATTATTTGATGGATGATATTACAGTTTGAGGTCATGGTACAAGACAGATGAGCTCTTTCAAAAGGCCAAAGGCCAAATTTTAAAATATTCAGCATCTATTGCAATCAGACTTTTTTAAAGAAACTCAACTCCCACTCAAACAATGCTCACTAAAGTAAGGCATAGATTTCCAAATGGTTTCTCCATGGAGCACTTTCCATGCAACCCCACAGGCTGAGTAACCTTGAAAGTCTAGCCATTTACCATGAGCACAAACAGGGCTGAACACTTGGGAAGATCTACTCTTATCACGGACAGTCACTGCACTCAAAAGCTGCAATCTGCAAAGGAGCTGATTTGAAAGAAAGAAAAACTTGGGTGAAGTTTTCCAAAATCTATGATGTGGAATACTGTGTCTTGGATTCATCTCTAATTCAGATTACATGCAAATGTTTGTGTGTTATCCAATAAGATAGAAATAACAGAGGTCAAGAAATACATTTAATTTCATTTAATCCTGTGATCCTCACAGAGTTTTCCTCCAATGTATCCATCTTATAAGGAAATAAAAGGTAATTGAAACATTAATGATTACCTTTCAAAAGATAATCAAAATATTAATACAGTAAGCATGCACAAGATTCAGCATCAAAGATGCAAACTACTAAGCAGCCTCTCTGTGCAATCATTCACACAACAGAACACACTGTGTCTTTTATTTTTTTTAAGCAAAAGAAGGTGATTCTGTTTAATTTAATCTCTTCTTTTTAAGGATGTTACACCATATTCAGCAATTTTCCTTCTGTCAGAAGAAAGAACAAAACGGTTTTCACTGGGATAAAGGAAAGCTCCAGAAAAATTTAGAGCAATTTACTTCCTCAATTTATCATAAACATAAAACCATTTTTACAGGAAAGAAAAATACCAGTTTTTAAATGATGCACAGTCATTGGTTGTTGTACACATGATATAACCATATACTCTGCCATTTATCAAAATAGCTCAAAAGATATTTTTGGATGCTGGATGGGAGAACAAAGGTATTGCTTTGGTTTTGTTTTTGTCCTAAATGACATCTTTCAGTTTACTTTTCATGAAGAAAATATGGCAAGAGTCCAGGCTATCGCAAAATATATTTCCTGTCTCTTGCACCTTAGCTAAACAAAGCAGTTATGTGGCTAGAAAAAAGCCTGAGGTCTCAAAGGTGAACTCAGAAAAAAAGAAATTCAGAAACACAGGAGTAAATCTCACTGCCAGTTTCAAATACAGCTACTGCATGTGAAGATGCTGCTGAGTAGCAGCAGCCATTGAAAAGCTGTTTGGATGAAGTCCTTTACTTGTCACTTCTCAAAGACTGCGGGAAAAGGGTGTCAGTAGATCCAGCATCAAGAAAGGGTTGCCACATGTGTGTTTACTATCCATGCTCAGTTATGGCATTGTACTGCTCTTCCTCCACAAGAAACACGGGAAAGCTATTGGGGAGGGGTAGGTTTCTGCAGTGATTTCAAGTATTCAAATACTCTTTCTTGTCCATAATTGGACAATTCTTGTCCTACCTCAAAACCAATTAATGTTAACAAAGGTCTAAAGCAGCTTGACATCTTATTATGCAGAAACACTACTTTACAATGCTAATACTGTACAGCAGGCAAAAAAGAAAAGCAGGGAATATATTCAAGTAGAACAGCATGCTAGTAGAGAAAAGTAATCACATTACTGATGCTGCTCTGTTTATCAGGCAGCAACAAAAACAGATTACATGTAATAACTTCCCTCTGCACAGCCAGCAATGATTAAGTGCCTAAACTGGGTGCAGGAAGAAAGACCAAAAGCTTTTAAAGCAAACAAGTTATTGTTTTATTCCATTTGCCCCTTATTAAGTCAAGATGAACTCGTCATACTTACTGGTGGTTCAAAGGCCCTGCAGATTTAGACAAGAACGGAAATTAGTCTTCAAACACAAGTAATACTTATGGAATGGTGAAGAGTGGAAATATGATGAACTTAATCATATTTGGTCATTTACTTGTTTGTCACAGAAAAAATTATGGCAGGTTAGAATAGGAATCAAGGGTTATTTAATGGATGAATACTCAGGAAGAGTTTGTATCAGCACAACACCTAACAACTCCATCGTGGTCAGTCTGCAAACATGAAATGCAAAAAGCATTTGCCCCAGAGAAGCAGCACCTCCCATCTGGAAGTTTCATCTCTCCCACCACCACATTTGAGGTCAAAATCAAATCTCTCAAATGCCAGCTACAAATGGATCTAGGCAAGACCTACTAACATAATGACAACACAGAACTAAAAGAAGTACAAAAGGAACTAATTCCTACATACTATATTTCCTCTTGAATTAGACTTTATCTGCTCTACTAAAAACACCATGGTTCTAATATCTTTTCAAATTCACTGTAATTTAGCCTCAGGTTTGCATTTGACACAAGCACGTAAGAGCCAAAGACCATCACCACTACTAAAGCATCCAAAATTAAAACACAATCCTTCCTTAGTAGTTAGTATGGTACAGATCAGGCTAACCAGCATACTTTGGAGATGCCCAATTGTTCAGCAAGTGTTACGCTAGACCTGGAACCATATTCATGGCATAGTGTTATTAGAGTTCCCAAGCAGAAAGAACTCAAGGAAGGAAACGTGAGCTTACTGCAGACAATCAAGACACGCAAACATTTATGAAATGAAAACTTCAAAAAGAATCTGGATATAACAGGGACCTCAAAAAAATACATAGTTTTCACTTTGAGCAACGTTGTTATAATTAAACTTAGGTACCTTTCACAGAAGCTGTCCGTGTGCAGTTGTATAAAATGGCTAGTTCACCAAATGCTGTCCACACAGGTATTGAGGATAGTAGCTTATTCTGCTGAAAGACTTCCAGACTGCCCTCTGTCAAAAATCATCAGGATGACAGGTATTAAAAACTGTGCTCAAGTGCACAGAGTAAATGGAAAACAAATCAATATATTTCTGACTTTGCCGCTCCCTGGAACACAGGAATGGGAGCAACGATGCAAACAGTGCTTTGAAACACACATACAAACCTGTAGAGATTTATTTTTTTAAAATGTACTGCTAACCTACAAATCTGCTCTTTGAAGGGAGGGCCATTGTAAATTCTAATGGGATAAATCTTGGCTGCAACAAACCAGTCAGATAGTCTAGTGTGGTGTAGACAAACTTAAGGTCTTAAAATGGAGTTCACTGGAGAAATTATTCATGACGTCTGTCTGTTCATACACATGTATGTGTATATATGTGCAGAATGCAAAGGAGAAGGCAGAAAAATTAAAAGCACAATAAATCTTCCTTCAAGAAATTGTTCTTAAGCTTTACTACAAATCTAGTAAAAGTCAAAAAAACTCTGAATTTTGTGTTATCCTAACACAGTTACCATCATTTTTTTCACACTAAGCCATCTATATGAAACCAGAAGACAGAAAATGTTTTTCCAACATATACCAGGATGCTTCTAGCTTAAATATTCCTGCCTCAACAGAATATACTCCTTACAGCATGAACTCCAATTCATATGAGTCTCTGGGCCTTTTAGTGTCCAAAATTGATGAAATATGCAAATTAATTTTTAATGGTGAGATGATGAAAGAGACAACACCTCTTAGGAGCAACTTCCATGGGTTAAACTTGGGGTCCACTAAGACTGATCTGCAATTTGAGATTTGTGTGTAAGCACAATAGCAGTCAGCATAGATGACTGCAGAGAGATTATTTCAGACCAGTTGGCATTATTTTAGGAAAGCTTTTTTACCTTAAAGCTTTTTGTTTGCATTGTTGTTTGTTTGGCTTTTTCTTTTTTTTCCCCCAGAAAAAAATCCAAATAGGTCTTTAAAAAAAACCCAAAAAACATTTCAGCTTTGAGAACAGTAAATGCAGACCTCACCTCCCAATTTCCCATACACAGGAAACTAGTATAAGCTCTCATGAATGTTGAAAGCAAGTTTATTTCAGAAGTGGGTTCACCACTGAGAAGTTTTCAATATTTTAAATAATCCCTGTTCTTCCTTCTGAGAAAAAGGGCTTGGCTGCATGAACAAAAAGAATTTTCTTGCCTCTAGGTTTTTATAAGTGAAAGAGGTAATGAATTAGCATTAAATCAAGATTCAAGTTTCCAAGGTGCTTTTTGTTTTTCTCACTCTGTTTCATAAAAGTCACAGGTAAAACTTGCATCGTCATCAGGTCCAGAATAAATTATTTAGGAGCACAAACACCATCACTGTGGCTTTCTGCCAAAACTTCTGAGCTACTTTCCTGTTTCTTGCACTCATGTGTTGTACAAGAAAGCAATATTTACCTTTGAGCACAAAAATGTGATTGCCCGGTTCTCCCTGTCTGATGATGTAGCTGCCTTGCTGAAAAGTCCTTTCATACATACATTCCACCATATCTCGTGTCTGGTGAGGCTCCAGTCTCTTCAAGAACTGATTTCTATTCAGGGCATCCGTGATAAGCTTCTTCTCACTGGTTGCAAACAAAACATCAAAGTTTAAAATACCCAGCATGGTTGTGGTATATTATTCACCAAGCATTGATTCCCCTCAAGATGCTCCCCCTTATTTCTCATACTTGCATGACCAGTACCACTGAAAAATATTCCAATCCTTGCAGGATTTTACAATCCTTGCAGGAAGACAGGCTCCCCAGAAAGTTTTGCACCGTTTCTCACGATATTCTTTCCCCACTGCACAACTCAGGTATGTAGCCTTGCTTATCTGAAGGAAAGAAATCTGAAATGTATGTCTTCACATAGCACTGCCTGCACAGGATTGCCAGTTTGTTATAGGATCAGGCCAACTTTTCTAAGATTCTAAACCATTTTTTTCTAATATCCAGCAAAAACATAGCACCAATGATATGAAAGTCAACACTGATTGTACTAAAACCTCATCAAGAGTTTCTCTTTTGAGTTGTGAAAAAATGCATGGAAGTAAAAGTATGCAAAAACATGATTAACAGGTGTTGCTTTTTCTTAGGAGAATGTTAGAAGACACTGGTGGTGGGTAAAGCAAAGAAAGTTGTTGATGAGTGTGGCTGAAAAATGACTACAGAGTACTTCCCTTGCACTGGTAAAATAACATTGATCCTGTGGCATTCCCTGTTTATAGCTACGAAACAAATTTATTTGAATGTTGTCCCAAAATTCACAAAGTAAGTCCAGGAGGTGGAGGGTTAGTGCTGATCCCTTCTTGCACTGCTCTTTGCCTTCCATCCACAACCCTGAAAAACTCTTTCTACCCCTACTGTGCCCACTTCCTTTGCACAGATGACAACAAACAGCATAAATGCTACTATCTGAGTAAAAGTCCTGTATAGTTTGTTCATGTGGGATGTCAAAAATGTTCAGTCTCCTTAAGAATGACCAAACATGGCAGAATCTTCCCAAAGCAGGCCCTTTCCTCTACTGCTTCTAAGAATTTTTAGACTATAATTGGAAGTTGCCAAGCCACTCTCCATGATATTTGAAAAGTCATGGCAGTCAGGTGAAGTTCCAGGCGACTGGAAAAAGGGAAACACGGTGCCCTTCTGACTTGGGTCAGATCTGTCAGAGCCCTGAGGGCAGTAATAGGTCTTACCTACACTGCTCAGCCTCTCTTGGGACCACCACACATCCTCTGCCCGCTGGAATGCATGTTCTCTTTAAGCCCAGGCATGGGCATTCAGTTCTTGTCTGGGCTATGTTACAGAAATAATTGATTTTGGTTTTGTCTTCTGGATGGGTATTGGCCCAATATTGTAAGTACTTTGTTTCTGTCTCTTGGCTAGAGTTTGCATTTGATTGATTGCTTCTTCTGTGGGACTCCTGATGGACCCTGTTATCACCACCCTGCTCAGCCTACCCTGCCCAGATCTCGGGGATGGCATCCTGATTAGTGAGGGAATTGTCTGTGCTGTAGTAACCTGGTTCACTTACTCCTGTGGAGCAATCTTGTTCTGGCTGCTCCCTGAGACAGTCTCTGTATCATTTTCTGTTGTAGTAAATGCACAGGTATGAGTGAGTTGTAAAGACAAGAACAGTCTATTTGAGCTGCTGGTGGAAGACTCCAGTGGCTGGATTTTTAAGAAGAATAAAACACGGGAAAATAAACAGTGGATGAATCCACTCATAATGACTAACCAACTGAGTCAAAGCAGGCTATACATACCTACTGGGCAATCTATGAGCTCTCACTGAACTTGTGTATGTCCTGGGTCAAGGGCTTCCTATAAAGCAGTGCTTTGAATCCATGTCAGAAATGAATGCAATTAAACAACTGCTGCACTGATGAAGCTTTTATGGTTAGGTTTGCTTTATTGCTGAAGTGAAAGATAAATTCTGCCTTTAAGGCCCCATGTTCCTAACATGCATGTAAGGACGTGTAACGAAGTCAACACTCTGACAGCTTTCTGGAGGCATTTAAGGTTTACTCTTGCTTGTATTCATAAAACAATGCAAGGCTGTCATCAAAACTAGGTTATGTGGGAAAATCTCCTAAGGACAATCCAGGAATGAACAACCACAGGGCAAGTAAATACCCTTACAATGTTACTAGCCATATAATGACTGAAAATAAGTAAAGGGTATGAGATGAGGCAAGAAAACAAAATCAAGTAGCTACGGTAAGGACTGTGTTTAGAAATGGAGATCATAACTTAGCTTCTGCTGAAAGCAGCAGGGTTATTGGAACATAAGCTCTAACTTAGTTTTCTGCTAAAACCAAACTTCTAATTTAATTCACCCTGGCCTGCATTGTGCATACAATACTGCAATAAAATACAGTAATTCCATATAACCAAATACTTAAAATGAGGACAAAAGCTTCCAGAACTACATAGGAGGCTATGCTGTTTCCAGGAAGTGCAGTTGGCCACAGAGTGAAGGACTCATGAGTATGGTAAGTGTAGCTCAGGCTCTTGAATCAGTTGCTTGCTGATTTCTGGGCATCCAGCACACTGACAGTTGTCTCTCCATTCGTCTGTACCTGCTCCACTTTTGAGAATGGCTCCTGGAAATAACTAGATGTCCTGAGAGGACAGAGGACATTTAGTCCAGTACTTGTGCTGGTTGCTGTCCTCATGAGTACTACTTAAAAGGTAAAAAGGGGCTGCATAGAGCCACAGAACTGTTCTGGTGTTGAGGTATCTCTTGGTCCCACCTCTAGGAGGACTTTTTTTCACTGCCCAGAGCCAGCTTTGCCATAGCATCCTTCTCCAGGTTTTGTTCCCCTACCTGCTGTTAGCTTTCATGGAAATGTTCCCCCTGCCTCTTTCAACACATTCCCAGTCAAACTCTAGAAATAGCACCTGACAGCCTAAGAATAGCTTTTTGTGAACAGGATTGGGAATTTATTCTCATCATAAGACAGATGCCACCTCACAGGTGCAAGGGTACAACATATGTTTTGCCATATGCTTTCTCTTAATGTACCTTTCTGCTACTAATGAGAGATTTTTGGCTGTCTGCTGGCATTGACTGGTAAAAGACATCAATGTCAAGGGTCAAGATGGTTCTTCCCCAGTCCATAATGGCTGATAACAGAACTGGGTCGTGGTCCTGAGCCCATAATAGGAAGGGACTTGATAAAGGCAGTTTAAATGCTGCTGATGGTAATAGCATGCTCTGTAAGAACACAGAAAAATGGAGAACTATCCTATAGACAATGAGACACCTAGACTGTTAACACTGCAAAGGTTAAGAGATTAAAAATATTTTCCATTTGAAGGACTTTTTGAAAGATCTGCTCTCATATACCATGTTAAAACTCTGAAATCTTGAGGCTTTAGTTAAATTTTCAATGCTTAAACTGCCATTAAGGAAAAAAAACCTAATTTTTTTAAATGATATGGATTTACCCAACTAGCTCAAGAGAAGAAAGAACATGAAAAAACCCCCTCATATAGGATAGATAAGAACCATTGAAAGCTTCTAAAATTTTCATTAAAATCAGTCATGCTGAGATACTCCAAACAAAAGCATGGCACTTAAAACCCTACTAAATGAATAGCATAACATTATGCCATTTGTTTTATAAATATTTTTTAAGGGACGAGTGGCACTCTGGACTCAATGCAAATTCAAGAAGATAGCATATTTCTTTCTGAAATAACTGCATTCACAACAGTGTAGCAACACTGTGCAATTATCTTATGCAGAAGTGGGGCTGCATTAAGTCCTTTCTCTATAAAGGAGAGGCAGCCACTGATATCAGCAACTCTAAACGCTTCTACAGACACTGTTAGGCTAAAGGATCAGTATTTGCTAGTTACAGTGGACAGAATTCTGTAGATAGTAAAGGTCAGACTTTGTTCTTACATGTATGCCAACTGTCTGAACTTAACCTACTACAGTATTTGCTGCCCAGGTAAGAAACCAAATGTTTGTACCTTTCAGCATTTGGTTGTCTCAGTAGGAAGGTGATGGTGTCAAACAAGTGTGTATCACAAGCTTATCTAACTCATAAGCAGAGTAGTGCATAGTAGTACAGTTTTGTGATGGGGTTTTTTGGCTACATTTGCTTCCAAAGTATTTGGAAGATCAAATGATACTTTGGCCACTATCACATCAAAAGATGATGTGTATTACATTTAGATTGCTTAAGCTGCAATACTTGGTTTTGTTCTGACTGCTGCACTTAGCTAATCAGCTGGCTCTTTTCTTGCCTTTACTACTCATTGCTGTTACAATTCTGTCTCTGAAAGCACCCTAGAAAACCATTTGGTGGACAACAGTACAAGGATCGTGCCAAGGAGAAGACAGGTAGGTGATTACAAGTAGAACACTCCTAAAACAAACAGTGATTTAAACTGCCCAGGTACTTGTGATAAAATATTAATGCAGTTCTCTCACTCTTGTGGAAAAACACTGCTAGCTGAAGTTCTCTGCGCTTTACAGTGACTCAGGCAGCCTTTCTGATTCACAAGACACCCTCTAATGTGTAATGCTGGACATGATGGATGAGAAATCAAGTCTCATAACTCTCAGGTCTACTATGGTACACTCATATATGCCATGATTTTTTTTAACAAAATAATAAAGCTTCCTGCAAATCTGAGGCACTTAAGCCACTAGCTGAAGTCCAGATAGATTCTGGCTACCACCATTTTAAAACAGATACTCAGGTTTTGTCTACACTGCAAGGTCCCTATGTTTAAGGATACCAGTCTAATACATCTGTCCACAAGGTCAGCTGGGACCACAGATATTTCTGTGTCTTTCAGAGTCTAGAAAGCATAATTGGATTCAAAGAGGAATAAGTAAAATTCAGTTCCTACACCATGACTACTAGAAGCTGAAGGACAGGAGGAAGCTAAGAGGACAATCACACAATACAAAATATTTCATTGCATTCTGCACCAGACCGAGTTGAAACTGGGCTGACAAACTTTGTGCACAGCTCAGGAACAGTGTCCTTATTGCATTTGGGAGAGCTGAGCTGGGGTCATCTGCTCCTTCCCAAGCCATCCATGCTGTAGGATTAAGAATGAAACCAGGTGAAAGCATCCAGGTACCTTCTCATCAGTGTTCCAGAGGACAGCTTAAGCTGTGAGCACTAGGCAAACCCAGACCTAAGAGGTTTAGGTCTAGCCTAGAAGATGCTTAGGTTCTGCTTAGCTGGCTGTAAAGATAAATCCCAAAAAGACTATAGAGTCTCATCTAAAATACAAAGCCTACCCACCACTCTTCATTCTGAAGTCTGTGGGACACACATGATTCTTGCTTAAAGAATCACACAAACTCAACCCACATTTCACTACCACAGCGACAAAGCCTATATGAAAAAGATGGTTATTTTAATCTTGATTTATCATGAGGACAGTATATCATTGTGACAAAAGTATTATCCTTGTAACACAATCATATAAGCCCTCTGAAATGAGCTCACCTGGAATCCTTTCGGACCGTTGCTTTTTCAAGGGAAAACATGGCTTTCCTGCTCAAATCGTACAGCCGTGTTGTCGGCTCTGCAGATACACCTTCCTTGGCTCCTCTCCTCCTATTAGCAGAAACTTTCAACGGAGAAGGCTGAAGAGAGAGCTCTCCTTGAGTGCTAACAACATCCTGGAGCTTGTTCAACTGTGTACACTTGCTCTGAAGTTCCTTGGTGAGTTCTGCTATGACCTTAGTCTGCATAGCCAGCTGTTCCTGAAGCTCAGCAACATGACTTTGACTGTCTTGCAACTCTTGGTCTTTTCTCTTCAGCTCCTTTTCCAGTTCAAGTATCTTGCTGCAAAGAACATCAGCTTGCCCACTGATCACACTGATGCCTAGGCATGGGTCCATCAAAAACTTATGGTTGGCAGCACAGCCAATAGCGAGGTTTGCTACGTGTCTGTCTGACTGCCTCAGATGCTTGGGTTTCACTAATCTATTCCCCATTTTGTCCAGAGACCTAGGCAAGAAAATAAATTGGCAGTTTTATTTCGTTCTCCAAGAAGAATAAAAAATAAAATAAAAATCATGGAATGGCAAACAATGACTGTAGTATTTAACTGGCAGCTGAATTTGCCATATACAACTATAGCAAACACAGTTGATTGCTTTCATCTTTTCCAGTCCTGCAAGTCAGTGTAGTAAAGGGCAAAGAAAAGAGGTAGGTAGGGTGCTAAAGACAAAGCAGAAGATCTGATGGCTATCACTTCATTTTTGTGACTCAAAGAGATGTGTAAGCTTCTATCAGCCTAACAAAGATGAGACAAACAGCAGGAAGCAGAAAACCTCACACTCGACTGCTGAAACAAGAAAATTGTTGGAGGCAAAAAAAAAAGTTGGATCAGTTCTCCATTGAGGAATAATTATTGAGTACACAGACTAATTTAACCAGTTGCTGCATATCAGTCTGACATAAAGGATATGTGGTTATTAAGAATAAGTGTTAAGAATAATTTTGGGGAAAAAAATTAAGGATTATGACCATACTGATCAGAAGAGGAGTCTGGCTAGCTTGTAACTGTCTCCAAACACAATCACAGGGAGATGCCCAGGAACGGGTATCAACAGGAATGAGCATATAGGCAGCTTGACTGAAATATTCTCTGAAATTTCAGATTTTCTGGGCCTGATATGTATTATTTAATCCTCAATGGACCTCTAATCCTAGTACTTGTTTCAATTCCCTTCCAAGCCTTGTAAACTTCTTATCTGTAGACCATGGCAGGACCTTAGCGAGGAGTTGCACAGGTCTGCTTCTTGCATGAAGAACTATCACCTCCTTTTATTTGTTTCTTCCAGTAGAAAACCAAGGATGCCAAAATTAGGAAAAGCCAATTTCAGAAAGACTTCTCTCTATTAACCTCTTCTATATGATTCTGTAAATTTCTAGGCTAGTTCTCTGCCTGAACATATGCTTGAATTCTTTCCCAGAACGACAAGCCCTTCCTCATACAGACATCACTCCAAAAGTTTGACAAACCCAGCTGTCTTTTGCTGATTACAAAATCAGGACAGCACAGAGTTAAACCCAACTTACCCCTATCAAGGGCAGGCAGCTGGCATAATTTCTGCATCTCAATAGTTTAAAACTGGCTTATATATGTTAGTGTAACAGCTGCTATTGCTGTCAAGGAACAATTATCTTTTTATGGGGAATTACCCCCTTCCATTGGCTACTCATGAAAAGTGACAAGGCAAAAAAAAAAGGTCCTGGACTCCTGAGAACAGCTGAATTCCAAGGACTCGTTGCAAAGAGCAGCCTTCAGTAGATTTGCAGAGGCCCATCTTCTTCCTTGGACACCATCTTTGGCATATTTTACTGTATCATTTTAAGAGGATCAAGGAAGATATGCCTGCTGCTTTGGTCAGACTGTATTAATTGCACAAGCTGATGGGGGAAAAAAAATAACATGTTACTTTTGAGACTAGTGTTCAACAATCACCAGCCCACTGTACACCAAAACCAGTCTTGGGGAGCAAAGCCTGCCTATAAATCCCACCTGTGCACCACAATAGTGGCAGTACAGTTTGGTTCAGCTTAGGCCTAAGGAGAACTCCACCAGGAGAGAAGGAATGAGCTTAGGGCCCTATTGTTCAGGCCTTAGCTGCACATAGAGCTTTTCCCAAAGCCCCTGACCAGGTTCCTGTCCAATTGTATTCTGCTATGGCAGAAGACAACAGCACAGAAAATACCTGCCTTCCTTAGATGAAGCACAAAATTGTTTACTTATAATCTGATTTTTGCCTTATCAATAAGCTATTTTAATAAGTTTTATGAAATTGCTGGTGCACTAACCAGGCAATCATGTTGCTATTGTGATCAGGCATTAGTAGGCCCAAAGTAGCTGTTTTTCTGCCTCATGAATGCACTACAACTTTTTCAGGATGAACCCCAAGTTATATGGTTAAAGCTAATCTCTTTTACCATTTCATTGGCACTGGATAAGAAGAGGTCCCTGACAAGGTACATCGATCAGACAACAAGAAATAAATTTGAAAGCTTCAGCAATTTCCTTTGCTGGTTAGTATAACCATACTTCTAACAGATGCACAATTATGTTCTGGTTTACAGCCTTCAAAGAGTTAGAATTGAAATAGTTGACAAGGTAACTTACATTGCAAATCTAGTTTTCCTTAAAACAGTCTTTCTTCTCAATTCTGTCTTGCTTATTGTGACTTTGCATAATATTTTTCTTTTGTCCTAATTTCCCAGATGCATTTTGACAGCTGGTGCCTTAGCTTTTTAACAGGGTAATATGTCAGAAATAAAGGCAAATCTGTATTGCACAGGAGAATTTAAACAAATTGCACATCAAGGTACCAAACCAAATAACTCTGAAGAGGAACCTATGTATCACTAAACATGGTTTAACCAAAGATCTTAGCTCAGCATGCAACCATACTTTAAAAAAAAAAAAAACAACAAAAACAAACAAACAAACAAAAACAAACAAACAAAACCCAAACCAAACCAAAACAACAAAAAAAACCCCAACAAAAAACAAAAACCAAGCAACTTAAACTAAATGTTACAATACAGAAAGTAGAAATTAAGATTATGGGAAACACATCATCACACACAACATGGTAGCATTCTCTGTTACTGCTGTCACTGCAGTGACAGTCGCTGCATTTCAAATAAAGGATATCACGTACACTTTAAAATTATCTTTATATAGGGCAAGGTGACTGCCCCAGGGCACAGAAAAACCTGCTAACTGGATTGTATCCAGAAACAACAGGTTTAATGTGTGATGGTTAAAGTCCCTAAGATATTAACCCCACTAGAGAGAAAAACGTTAGGAACTTGTCTGCCCATTCCATATGCACAATTAAATGTCAGTGTAGAATGGAACAAGCCATGGGATTGGCCACTTGTGTAGGAAAGTCACGACCAAGTATACGGCAGGACTGAAGAAAAGACTGACAGGTGATTTTGTTAATTCAACATTACAGTAGTCAGTTCTAACAGACAACTTAAAACCTTACGCCTCCGAGGTCTGACCAACCTCTCCCCACAGCTAATGAGGCAAAAAGCAAAGCCAGAGCATGCACTGTGTTTTACTACAGGGCACCTCACACGCTCTTTCGAGGTCACTGGACAGACGCGGCCAGGGACCGGGCAGAGTCAAAACCCACGCGGGGAGCCGAGAGTGCCCGCCGCGGGATGCTCACGGGATGCTCAATGGATGCCTAAGGGATGCTCACGAGAGCCAGCGCCAGTCGAAACCAGGTCCGCCCCAGGTCCGCGGGGGGCGGGCGCTACCGGGCCAGGACCCCCGCCCGGCCCCCGCCCCACCGGAGCCCGGCGTCGCCCCGGAGAGGCCGCAGCTCCTCCGGGCTCCCCGGCAGCCGCTCCCGGCCTCCCCCGCTCCCCGCACGCACCCGCCGGCGCCTCTCGGTGCCTGCTGCCCGGTCCCTCACCTGCGTGCTCAGCTGGCCCCGGGCCCCGATCCAGGACGGTGCTGGGCGGCGGCAGGGACGGAGCGATGCTCCCTCGGAGCCGGGCTGGGCGGTAACGCCGCTCCCGCCTGCTCGCAGCCCGTCACGGGCGCGGGGGGAGAGGGGCGGGGGCAGTGGTGTCCGCCCGTCTCTCCCCCTCTCCTTCCCCCTCTCTCTCCTCCTTCCCTCCCCTCTTTCCTTCTCTCCTTCCCTCTCTCCTCCGGCGGTGCGGGGGCTGTGGGGGCGCTGCGCTGTCCCCCGCCCAGGGAGGGGCAGGGGCTTGCAGGGCGTGGGGAGCCTCCGGTGCGGTGCCTGGGCTCGGCAGGGAGGCGGACACCCCGTCCCAGGCGGGCAGGGACAAGCCGGGCTCCTCAACGCATCCCACTTGGCACAGAGGTAAATGCAGGGCCCAGCTCGGGCCATGCTGACAAGTGTTTGCCCTGTTCGCTTTCTGCTGCCGTATGGATAGGTCTTGGCGTGACTATCGGGCTGTAGAGATTCTGCAGCCTTTGTAATCTGCAGCTGACCCTTAGGCACCAGTACGCAGCCCTCCTGCAAGGAGCCTGCTCGTGTCCCGGGGTGTGTCCTCACTCGGGCTGGAGCACCACGGCTCACCCCAGAGTGGAGCATTGCCTCTGTGCTCAACACTGACTCTGGGTACAGTACAGGTTTCACAAGGGCTGTTCTCTCCTGTGCATATCTTTATGTTGATTCAAAACATCTGCCTTCAAATCAAGGCTTGCTAGACACAAAACAGCCTGACAAAACAACGGTGAAAGGATTTTATAACAGGCTGCATGCACATCCCTCCTACTGATGCTGTCAAGCAAACTTGGTCTAACCCCAACCTGTAGCCCCTAGGACACTGACTCTATAATTTTCTCCTCTACTCCTACCATTTCCATTTGAGGCTCTCTTTCTTTACATTGACCCCAAATTCTTTCCTGACCCACAGTTAAGAAAACTTTCCTGTCTGACCATCCAAGAGCCACTCTGGCAGCCACACTCACACCACCCCAGGCTGTCACTGCTGGGACTGAAGCCCCTTCCCAGCAGGTGGCTCCAGTGACCCAATGGGTGCCCTGCTTGACCCCCTGCACACACCACACTCATACAGTCAGACAGGTTTCCCATAGCAGAGTCCCAAATGTCTTAAATAATTTAATGGTGGTGCAGCAACACCATAACAGCTCTAGCTGCTGCCTCTGGACAGGGACCCTCAACAAAGGAGTCACAGGGCTTTTATACCCGTACAGTCAGTGCAATGATTCCTCACTGCTCTTCACGTTCCTTGCATGTGCCTTTTGATCTGGGGTCTTGTTGTTTATTTGGGTTCTACGGAGTCTCTGGGTGACGGCCAGACCCACAGGTCCTCATGCCCTCTGTCAGGCAAAGGGTTCGCTCCAAGTCACAGCCCCATGCTTGGGGCTCCAGCCATTCCTCCACCCAGGGTACAACCTGCGGCTCCCACTGCAGCTGCACACCGGGCTACCGGCACCAGATGCATTTCTCAACACCATTCACGAAATTCAAATTGTTTGTCAAAATACCAGCCAGAGCTGGTATTGCACTTATGTGCAATTCTGGCAGCCACATTAGCAAAAAATCTCTACAAATATCTATCTATTTAATACTCCAGACAACTCCTTCACATACATCAACAGCAGTTTACCTACCTCTAAATCTTCCTGTGGTTTCAACGGATCTCAGTGTTCAGTATGGCTTCCACAATCACTGGCAATGTCTGGGAGTAAGCAGCTCACATAAATCCTAACAGGAACAGCCTGAGAAGGGCTCTATGTTCTTCCACTTACAGTGTTCTCAATCACAAAAGAAAAACTTATAAAAAAATGTTGGTCATATACATTTCACTGACTACTCAATACCTCAAGACAGAAATGTTATAGTAATCAGAGAAGCATGTGATGAGAAAAGTTGTCCCAGTATCTACCTGCACTCTGCAAGTGAGCTGCTCTGGGAAGCACCAATTGACTCGGATTCCCTGCGGTGTGAGGCAGTTTGACAGCACCCTCTTTTCCTGCTGCAAAGTCCATAAGAAGTGCAGTCAGGAATCTGGAGACTGCTCCCTACTTATGGTAAACCAGGGATACACGGAGTCTTGCTCTTTGTTGGTAGAAGTGGAAAAGGTAATGGGCACCCCCCCGCAGTTCACCTGCCAGGAGACTTCAGAGGTCAGCACCACATACTTGAAGCCAGCCACTGCATGACAGAGATCAGGTGCAGGTCACTGTCTGGAAGGCTTCATGCCTGCTAGGGCAAGTATAGCTGTCACACCTGTTCTAAAAATTCCTTAGATATGTTACAGAGCCCTTTTTCCCCCCCTCAGAACTTGTTTCAGGGTAGCAGTATGTTTGGGTTACGATTAGGGATGCTTTGGTCAATCTAGACTGGAAGTTCATTTGATATGAGGTAGCTTAAAAACTTGGAAAACTTGCAACTTGTTTTGGTCTAATTGTGAAAGAAAAAGCTGTACAACCACATTACACAAGCCCTATATTCTATAAGTCTTAGTGTCCTGTCTGCAAACTGCAGGGGCAGCAATAAACATACAAAGCACAACAGGAGTGTCCTGTTGTTAATCCTTTCTGTTTGTACTGCTGTCATAGCAAGAAATGGATGAGATATTTATTGCCATGAAGGATTGAGGAGCAGGAGCTTGAAAAGATGGGGATTTAGATTGTATCTTGCTACTGCTGAGTTTATGTTTTGAAGCAAAATAAAATTGATGGTGTTAAATGGTGCTTTGCTGGTGTTTGGTTTCTTTTGTGCTTGTTTTTTTTTGTTTGTTTTGGTTTGGGTTTTTTTTTAGATAGAAATCAAACAGGTAGGGATTACAAAGTAACAATGCTTCTGCTTCTTTCATGCTTTGGGAAATATTTCTGTATTCTAAGAATTTTGCTCTAAATTTCGTGGCTATCCTGTTGAATGAGTAATCCAGAAGATGGACGTCAACCTGAAACACAACACAGTCTCACCGCCACTGAAATTCCAGAAAAAGAGTTTTGTTTGGGGTTGATCCATTCTTCCCCTCCACCCCATATAAAAGATTTTTTGATTTTGGTTTTGGTTTGTTGTGGGGTTTTTTTGTGGGGATAGCGGTATTTTTGTGGTTTTGGCTTATCTAGCACTTCTGGACAGTAACCATCTTTGGAGCAGTCCCATAATTAAAAATCAAACAATCAGAAAAACATCGTTTGAAAGCTGAAGCACATAAATCAACTGTAAGTAAATCAAATACCTTGACTCTGTGTGTGGATTTTTCTCTTGCACACTGGGTGGGAGAACCTTTTTTGAACAACATCCTTGGCGAGAGGTGGTGCTGCAGTCCTGGCCTGAGGCTGGGATCATGACAGTGGTTGTTCAGAAGAAGCAGATAACAAGAGAGATCCTGCTTTTCTTTCTGTCACCAGTTGCCAGAAAAATCCTCCTCCTTAGCCTGCTAGGAAAGACAGCTTCTCATGCTGCTAAAATGATCACTGGGCAGAGTTCACCACATTTTACTGCCTCTCTTAATCACTGATCAACAGATTGAATGACGCTAGTCATTAGACAGATATAATAAAGATTATGGCATACAAAAGAGGGACTGTACGAGGGAAATGGCATTGCTGCTTAATTCTCAAACAGAAACCAGTCATTTGATTACATGAAATAATGGATATTTATTTGCCATCTTTTCCCCTAAATAATAAACAAGCCTTTGAACATTGCCTTAGGCAGTGCCAGTTCACTCCCCAGGCTAGCTTCTACTTGGCCATAACTTCCTCCAGCCGAGAATACTCTAACCACTTGAAAGGAAATCACAGCAAGGGCACATTCTGTGGCAGGTTAATAGGACTTCTGCACAGGAAAATTCTTGCCCCAATCCCTCAGTTTCACCACTCTCACTCACTTTGACAAAAGCAGGATGAATACTGCAAGCTGGAGCAGTGCAAAATCCTGGAAGGAAAAGAACTGCATCAGAACTTCTCCTGACACAGATAATTTTGCCACCTTTGCTGGCTCTTCTGCTTTTTTTTACTGTATTGAGAGCAAGCTACTTCTTGCCCATCTTCACAAGATGTTGAGCATCAGCCCAAAGTCATCTGCTACCCCTCAGGTATGGACTGTGAACGTGAGCCATAAGGGGCAGCTAAAGGGCCTGTGCTGGTATGTTAAAGAGCTTCTGGGCCATATAAATAATTCTGGCTGAAAAAAGTGCTATTACCTGTCTGAAACAGTCCTGAGCAATTAATTTGGACCATTTCTAGGTATAAATATATAGTATGTGCAGAGTCCTTTGTGCTGGCCTTCTACATACTGGGTCTAGATCAGTTCCCATCTGCTGTCCTCTCCCACCACAGATGAAGAACATCTCAAAAGCAAAAAGGAATACAGGTTGTGTGTACTCATTACAGCAAGAATCATGCAAACTGAAAAGGCTTTAAATGGAAAGAGGTAGAGTAGCTATGGGCTGGCCTATGGTGATACTGTCTGCACTGTTTATCTCACCGGGCAAGTTTTAGATTCCTGTTATAACATCTATAATCAACGGGAACTCTGAATTACAACTTCTCCTGTGGTGATATGGAGATACAATATTTTCTATGTTCTTAATGTTCTTCAAGAGATAAAACTCACTCATTTCTGTCCCTGGTCAGCCTTTCAAAATTGAAATTCCAATATTGAAAATATTTTAATATGATTTTTATAATACTTCAAAACTACATTTATTTGACACTGGAAGTAAAAACAAAATGGTAATTCAAAGAGAAGGTTAATATTATGGGAGAAATTTTGTCTTGATTTGACCCAACACTTACAGTATAAATCAAAGCTTCCTGTGAGGGTTGTATCTTGCTAATGTTTTTCAGGAGTAGACATATTATAAGTTGTAAACAAACTACCACATTCTTTAACAGGAACCCAGTTACAACTGCCTGTACTATTTCTCCTGGAGCAACCTGGAAGATACATCTTTTATAACAATACAACTGTATTCTTATAGCGTGTCTAAATGCACTGTGTGATCTTAACAACTACAGTCTAATTAAAATGCTACAAGAACATTTTCGAG